TTTTTTTTTTTTTTTTTTTTTTTTTTTTTTTTTTTTTTTTTTTTTTTTTTTTTTTTTTTTTTTTTTTTTTTTTTTTTTTTTTTTGTGTTGTATTTCTGCTGCCATTCCATCGCATATTTCTGGCTTTTATCCGTAAGTTTCAAAAAGTCGTCTTCATTTCGTTCTCTTCTATTTAGGTTTGGTTTGGATTCTCTTCGATTTCTTTGTTGTGGTTTTTGACCCTTTGTTCTTTCTTCCGAATTTTGTAATCGGAATTTCATGCAATGATCAACTGATTTCGTTTTTGTGCTGCTTCTCTTTGGATTTTGGTTTCTAATTACAATTTTGAATCAGCATTCATAGGATCTTCCGCTGCATCTAGAATTAGTTCTTCGCGTCTCTCCAATATCTTTATCCATTTTCAGCGGAGAATTCCTAATTTCCCTTTCATACCTGTGGTTTATTGTATGATTTCTTCCTTTTTGGGATTTACAGAGTGATTAGTTTTGGTTCCAGTAGGTTCCAAACTAAGAGATTTACTTTTGGTACTTGTGCAGTTTTCTTTCTCTAGAATGTGGCTATGTACTGGGGAAACTGTTCTAGTATGAGTGAACTTGGAAATGCCATTTTTTATCTTCCAGCTGGTTCATTTCTCTAAACCTAGGGCATAGGGTTTTACCAATTTAATAGATCCAAAAATAAAGCAACAGTTTGAATGACTGCACACATATATACTTCTAAAACGATTTGTTTATAGTTAATTTGAGCTTATTGGCATTATGGCTCTTTCATGCTTTGGTCTGTAGCTGTTGTTTTACGACCGAGGATTCTTATTGTTTTTGATCTATATGTTCTTGTGTGGCAGGTCAGTGTATACTTGTGATTCGTATTGCTTCTCGAGGATTAGTTATGCAAGGAAGTTTGATCTACTTATTGAAATTGTAACTTCATATTAAGAACAAGGTATTCTCCTCCTCCATTTTTTGCTATGTAATCTTGAAGGATAGTTATTTGTTACACATTGGATGTGTAGAATTATTTATCTAAGAATTTGTTATGAAGCTCTTGGGATTTGATTTAAAAACCTTGTTAAAGAACAAGATCTCTAGAGCTAAATTATCCAAGAACCCCAAAAAACAATAAGAATCAACTGAAAGGAAAGTTTTGGGACGGGTTACCTTGATAATCAAGATCAAGAGTAAAGAAAACTCGTGATTCGAATCACTCCACAAGATAGCTTGATCAAGACTATTTGAATGACTCTATCATGCACATCTAAACACAAGAAATGCAAAAGAACAACTCAGGCTTAAGAAGCATAATATGCCAACTTCATTTTTAATACCCAAAATCTTCATACTAAAGCAACAACATGAATGACTATTTATAGTTTTGTAAATTAACCTTAAAGTAACCTATGGTCAATTGGTCAATTGAAAGATTGTAACTCTCATGCCCATCAATACCATAATGACCACTAACCAATTGTAACTTAAAACTTTAAATTGAAAAATACAATGAAACCTTCCTAAATCCAAACATGTATGGTATAATCTTATCATCTACCATGAAGTTTTTGTGGCATGACTGAGACACACCTTATTTCGTATCAAAACTTCTCGTTTCTTCTCACATAAGTAGCCATAGGGTAGATGTAGTTGATAATATCTGTATGTTCTGATAACTATTGATGCTTGAGGAACTTCGTGGTTTCCCTTGACACAAAGTTTTATACCTAGTTGAATTCTTGAATATTCATTTTTAGGCCCACTCTTCATCTGTAAATTGGTTTCAATTATTGAGTAATAAGGCTTTGTAAATATATATTTTTTTCATTTTTGCTTACTGCTTATCGTTTAAAACCCTAATAATGTTGGAACATTTTTTATTTGCTTTTTATTTATAAACATTTTCTGTTAAAATGAGTTAACTAGTTATCTTTTGGGTCTTGTCTGCCTATTTAGCTAAAATTTTCCCATGGTTTGTTTTCATTTTAGTTAAATTTTCTCATGGGGAGCATCAAATCCAATTAAAGGTAGATAGTTGTAACCGTCCAAACCCACCGCTAGCAAATATTGTCCTCTTTGGGCTTTCCCTTTCGGGCTTCCTCTCAAGGTTTTTAAAACGCATCTGTTAGGGAGAGGTTTCGACACCCTTATAAGAAATGTTTTGTTCCCCTCTACAACCGACGTGGGATCTCACAATAGTATGGGTTGTCAAAATTTTCCCAGGGCAGATAGATAACCAAGGAAGCCGTTTATGTAATTTTTCAGTGACTAAGGTCTGCACCTCACCTGGCTGGCTGGTCATAAGATATTGTATGATTTGTTTTTGGAATGTTAGGGTTCTTTGAAAGTGCAACTTCTCAACAAGTGGATTAGAACAATGATTTGTCTACCACTACAAATGCACTTGTCCTCTCAGAACCAACAGAAATTTGGAAGTTGGCCTTGTTGTCCATAATGCAACATTCTCTCAGTATTTGGTCTTGCATAAGATTACTAATTATTTTTCTTCTGGTTGGGTCAGTAGGCAGGCAGCCTTAGATTCTTCATCAACTTTGACCTTCTCTTAGATATTCTGACCTTTACAAAGACTAGCCTATGATCTTATGCTGCATCCATTGGATCCTATTTCTTAGACTTGCAAACTTAGCATGCATAGACAGTCTTGCTTAGTTGTCTCTCAACTCGTGAGCCATAACAATTGCGTCTATCAAAACAACTGCATGATCTGAAATCAACTCTCTCCTATCCAGTGAATATATATAACGGTAGTGTGCCTTGACCTCATGCGGGTTCTTCTTGATATTATTTGTTTAATTACTTGTCTCAAATATAACCGGGCACATCTACAATCTTGTGCAGACACTTTTTCAAATATGTACACATTTTGAAAGATGCATTTGTATGTTTTGATACATTAGAAAATTACCCAATCTGTTTTAATTTTGAATGTGAAAAATAAATTATAGTTCAATAAGAATGCATTTTCTGCTAAAATTTAAAAACCAAAAGTCCAAACGTCCCAGAAATTATAAGAAAAGTGGTGATGCTAGCTTCCGACTTTGTGAGCGAGTTAGTTTCCAAGAACCTTACTATATGTTTGTTGAAGTTATTATTCATATTTATATTTTAGTCACCAATAAATGTGTGGCATTGAGATATGTTGCCAAGTTATTGTCTTTTTACACGTTTTTATCTACGCTAGGCTTAAAATTGTGCTATATTTACCAATCTTTTTAGCTTATGCTAGGTTTGCTATTATTATAATCAATTTACCCATTAAAATAACCTCAATAATATTGCTTTGTGTTGTATCATCAAGATTTTTACTTCATTATGTAAATAAATGCCATATGAAATTCTTGTAATATGGAAGCTCCCACTTAACTTGGTAGTCCATTTCTCTGTACATCCTATTAACCCTGTAAGTAAACGGAAATTAATGCATGTGTTGCCTACAGACTCTCTTGCTATGCTTTGCTTCTTGTGGTGCACTATCTACGTTGTTAGTACCTTTTTCTTGCTGTTTTAAGATCCACGTCTTCGTGTAGAACTCTGTCTTTTCTTTATCACTAACTTGACAGTAACCTAGGAAGAAAAATGTTTGGTATAGCTCTCTTTTAAAGGAATATCAACTTGAAAAGTTCTAGAAATGATTTTTTCTTTTTTGAAGCAGTTCAAGAAATGATTTTTATTCATCTGTCAATATACTTAATCTTTGTTCATTATATTTATATTCATTTCTTTTCATCTTGACTGAGTATGATATTGGCGCAGGTGCAATGGGGGTCTCATTACTTAAATTGCTTCTTAGACATATTTCATCATTTTTTCAACTTTCATCTTCTGACTACATACATTTACAACCGACTCTGAAGTACTACCATAAAATAGAAGGGGGTTTAAAACTTTTGAAGCCGATACTGGATGCAGTTGTTGATTCAGATATAGCTTCTGATGAAGAACTTATTAAGGCATTTGAAGAACTTGATCATTCAGTTGATGAACTAAGGGTGCTGTTTGAAAATTGGCAACCATTGTCGAGTAAAGTATACTTGGTAAGTTCTACCTTACCCTTGTTATTTTTATCTGTATTTTTGCAAATATTAAGTTTATCTCTTTCATCAACTAAGTGCACTCTACTGACTGGAAGCAATTTAAGAATAGAAATTCTCATCTGGAAATTTTAGGACCCAGATTTTCTCAATCGTCTTATATCAAAATCTCTCGGCTTTTAACTTGGAATAGGAGTAGTTTGGCCTTTTCTTTCTTGGAGGCTGAGCTTTTTGGTCTTTTGTGTTGTTGCAATCTTGATTTCTATGAGCATTGCAATTGTTTGTATGGTTTTCTTGATTGCAAGGATGTAGTAGCTTTTGCTGATTTTGACCCTCGATCTAAACATATTGAAACGAATAACTGAAGCAGAAAGAAATGAAATAAATATCGCGAAACTAGAGGAGAGGGTTTCTGATATGAACCAAGACATCAATCATGTAATATAACTTCAAAGAAGATGTGATGGAAAATGTTGTTAAAATTATCAAAAGATATTTCAATTCATGGGACATTGAAGAAGAATCGAGCTTCATGTTATAAATTTTGGGTGGATCATAGTATAGAGCTAAGATGTTTCATTAATGCATTTTAAGACTTTTTATTTATCTTAGGTTATATTTACATAGTGGTTAATTATGGTCCTAAAATATGAATGTTATAACTTTTGAAATGCCTAATGGAAGGTCAAGGGTTTCATTTTAAGGCTATATTAAAGCCATGTATGTTGTATTTGTAAAGGGGACTTGAAAAATGTAGTAAAAAGAACATTTGTGTTGTGCTTTATTTAGCCAATGATTAAGTTTCTTTGCAATTCTATGGAGTTTAGATTGCATGTTTAGAATCATTCAAGCTTGATATGATTGATCTTGCTTGTGGAGTGATTCGAATCTCAAACAAGTGTTTTTGCCTTAAGATATTCGATCCAAATAAGTGTTCTTGCCTTGAGATATTCGATCAACAAGGTAATCCGAATCTTACTTCCCTTGTAGTGATTCTTTATCATTTGCTATCAAAACTTTCCTCTGGGTTGATTCCTTATCTGAAACTCTTTGGGGTATTCGATTTAACAACCTTATCGAAGAATAAGATATTTAGATCTAAATTATCCAAGAACCCCCGAAACAATTAAGAATCAAGGGAAAGTTTAGGAACGAATTTCCATGATGATCAAGATCAAGAGTAAAAGAAAAAGTGCTTCTAAACTCGTGATTCAAAACACTCCTCAAGATAGCTTGACCAAGACTATTTGAATGATTCTAGCATGCAAATCTAAACACAAGAAATGCATGTCTTAAGAAGCACAATAGGCAACTTTCACTTTAATTTCCAAAATCTTCATACTGAAGCAACAACATAAATGACTATTTATAGCCTTGAAAATAAACAAGTAACATATGATGAAGGGAAGGGTTGTAACTCTCATGTCCATCAATACCATAATGACCAATAACTAATTGTAACTTAAGACCTTAAAAATAATACTCTAAAATTGAAAAATACAATAAAACCTCCCTAAATTTAAACAGGTATAATGACCAAGAGTTGTAACTAATTGGTCCAACCTAACACCACCATTTGGTGGTCATAACAACCTACTAAATAATTGGTCCCCATAAGCTTGTGAACTCACAATCTTCCCTGTAAGCTTGACTTTACTCAAGATTCTTTACTCTAAGCAACTCTTGCATCTCCACAAATTTAACCCTTGCTAGGGCCTTAGTGAGAATATTTGTACGTTACTCTTGAGTGCAAAGAAACTCCACAATGGTTTGTCGCTTCCTAACACACTCACGGATAAAGTGGAAGTAAGTGTTGATGTGTTTGCTGCACCAATGAAATATCAAATTCTTCATCAATGCAGTTGCAAATTTGTTTTGGTCACCTTGCTCAAGAAATTTCTTAGCATTGCTCTTAGCCACAATGCCACAGTTGTGTCATGAACTCGGCCTCACAAATAGTGTCATAGTTCGTTGCTTCTGAAATTGAGATTGCCAAGTGATCAAATTTTCATTGAGACAAAACACTATTCCTTTGGTGTTTTTTCTATCGTCAATGTTTGCAACTAAATAACTATTAGTAAAACCGACTAGTTCTTTAGGTTTTTGCACTGCCTTTCAACTTTGCTCCCTTCTTCTTTCATTTGGTTAATAATATTACTTTTCAAACTCGGGATGCAATATATCCTGTTCAGTAGATGTTGATCACTGTTCTTGCACTGGAACAAGATGGATCTGTTGTCAAACTTCACGCTTCCAATGAGATTCTTGTCAAGCTCCTTGAACTTCACTCAATCTCCAATCATGTGGCTACTTGCACTGCTGTCGAAGTACCACATGTTTGTCTCCACTCAGTCTTGTCTGTTCATGAGGAGGATCACCTATTATTCTTTTCATTGAGCACTAATAGGTTGGGCATCTTCTCGGCCAACAACAGTGCAGGTTTTTGGTCATGCGTGAATGTGTAATTCGCCTCCTCATCACACTTCTTGTTGTGACACTCCGCTGCATAGTGCCTATATTTTTCACAAGAGACACACTTATAGTGAGAGTATGATGTTTTAAAAGTGACTTAACGATCTAATCCAGAAGATACTAAAGGAGAGAGAAAACATTGTAGAAAATGTATAACCTTAAATAGCTCGTGGGCTCGTAGTTGGCAGAGATGAGAGTTTTGCTGCTGATACATCCTTGATCGATTAGTATTTTGCAATTAGGATTGAACTCCTGATTAAGATTTTGAAATGGGCTGGGACTTGTTGGAAAGAGTTCCTTGCTTGTAAGGAGTTCATTGATAGGACTATTCTTTCGTTTAAGCATGGTTCTCTTGGATATGATGAGCAAAGATTTTCCTTGATAGGATTGGTTTTGTTCAATTGGGTGAATGCTTGACTCATCACACGGAGATCACATGCTTTTTTTAAGGTGTCATTTAGACAAACTTGCCTGGTGAATGGGTGAAAAGGCCCATCGTTTATCATAAACTTGTCGTTTGAAATTTGGTCAGTATTTAGAAAGTGATTTTTGAAACTAAAATACAAAACAGAGACATCAATAGCAAATCACCCCATTTTTTCTAATGTAAAAAATTGAAAGCAATATCATTATCAAGTGCACTTGAGCTAATCTTTGTTTTTAGACAATACAATTTTTAGCATAGCCATGATTCTTCAGTTTTGCACCTTGTTGGACTATTATTTGGTTTGACATCATGCTCAGATATAGGAACGCGAGTTACAGGCTCCATCTAATGCTTTGAATTGTTTATTTTGAACTCAAAAGTCTATTATCTTTGCCGTCCCCAAATGTAACAAATTTGTCATTAGATGTTCTTTCTTGGCACACCGTGCTTTTATTTTGCTGTACTTTTCTATTTAGGAAGGTGTAATGGCCCAAGCTCACTCCTAGCAGATATTGTCCTCTTTGGACTTTTCCTTTCGGGCTTCCCCTCAAGATTTTTAAAACTCGTCTGCTAGAAAAAGGTTTCCACACCCTTATAAAGAATGTTTCGTCCCCCTTTCCAACTGATGTAGGATCTCACAATCCACCCCTATACGGGGCTCTCTCCAATCAATGTGGGATCTCACAATCTACCCCCTTCGGAGCCCAGCATTCTCGCTAGCACATCACCCGAAACCTGTCTCTGATACCATTTATAACAGTCCAAGTCCAACGGGGGCAGATATTGTCCTCTTTGAGCTTTCCCTTCTGAGCTTCCACTCAATGTTTATAAAACGCGTCTACTAAGGAGAGGTTTCCACACCATTATTAGAAATGTTTTGTTCCTCTCTCCAGCCAACGTGAGATCTTACCAAAGGAAACTTTTGTAGTGTTGATTTAGTTTGTTGAGAGGCTTACAATATTTTGTTCAACTTTTAGGAGCATCTCGTTACTAATCTGTCTCTGCCTCCCTTTTCTGTGTATGATTCCAGGCACTGCGGAGTGAAGCATTAATAACAAAGATTGGGAAATCTAGCTTGGATATATTCCAGCTTCTTCGGTCTTCAAATGAAAATCTTCCGGAGGAATTAAGTTCATCATCTCTTGAGGTAATGACTGATTTAAGATTTACGGTTTCGACTTTTCCATGTTTCCACTTCCTCTTGTATTACTTTTTTGGGAGTAATGTTTGAGCATTCATGATAAATAATTTGCATGATGCATTATTGCAGCACTCCGTCCAAAAGATTAAGCATATTGGAAGGGAAGAAATATCATCTGTTATTAAAGATGCCATAAGGAATCAAGCAGAGGGCATTGCACCCCCCAGCTCAGATGTTTTGGTGAAACTTGCAGATTCCCTGAGCTTGAGATCAAACCAGGAGATCTTAATTGAGGCTGTGGCCCTTGAAAAGTTGAAAGAGAGTGCCGAACAAGCTGAACAAACCGGAGAAGCTGAGGACATCGATCAAATGGTTGCTCTTGTAACCTGTATGCATGAACGACTTATTACGATAAAGCAATCCCAAAGTTCGGGTCCTGTATCGATACCTACTGATTTCTGCTGCCCTCTTTCTCTCGAACTAATGACAGATCCAGTTATTGTAGCATCAGGGCAGACCTATGAACGGGTTTTTATAAAAAATTGGATCGATATGGGGCTCAATGTTTGTCCAAAGACTAGACAGACGTTGGTTCACACGAATCTTATACCTAACTACACTGTTAAGGCTCTGATTGCAAACTGGTGTGAGACAAACAATGTGAAGTTATCTGATCCCTCAAGGTCGGTGCTCGGTAGCTTCGAGTCTGATACCCATCGAGAACCCCTTTTTTCTCATTCCCCTCAGTCAGCCCGGTCTGTACTTGGTGGAACCCATCGAGATGGAAGTTCTTCCTTGCTCTCCCACTCTTTCTCTGAGGATTCCTTGTCCAATGATGCTGGAGATGAAAGAGGGATTGATGTTAGTAGGCTATTGCTTACAAGTACGGAAGATCAATCGGCCAAATTGGAAGAAAATGGTGGTGATTTGATTGCTAAACCATCAATGTCACCATCTAGAACCAATGTTCCAAATTCCAGTGAGGATGAACAGTCACATATTCATAATAGGAAGGCTTCCACCTCGAGTGCAGTCTCAAATGCTAATCTCTCTCGAGGAACCTCAGGGGAAGCCAATGAATCTCCAAACGTGTCAACAAATCTGACAGGTTATGGCAGTGATGCTGCTGGGGAGAGTAAATCAGAGCCATTGGCTGCTGCTTCCTCAACTCCCAATCACATAGAACCAGAGCTTCCACCCAGATTAGCTGACTCAAGATCTCGAGGTAATATGATGTGGCTCCGACCATCAGAGAGGTTTTCCAGTAAAATAACTACACTGTCTGCTAACGAGACAAGGCCAGATATTTCAGCTATCGAAGCACAAGTTCGGAAGGTGGTCGAGGAATTGAAGAGCAGTTCACTTGAAACTTTAAGAGGTGCTACGGCTGAATTGCGGCTACTGGCCAAACATAATATGGATAACCGGATAGTGATTGCTCAATGTGGAGCCATTGAACATTTGGTAAATTTGCTTCTCTCTGCAGACTCGAAGATCCAGGAGAATGCTGTGACTGCTCTTCTAAACTTATCCATCAATGATAATAACAAAAATGCCATTGCTCAGGCAAATGCAATTGAACCTTTGATTCATGTTCTTAAAACTGGGAGTCCGGAGGCAAAGGAGAACTCAGCAGCAACACTTTTTAGCCTCTCAGTGATTGAAGAGAACAAGGTGAAAATTGGAAGGTCTGGAGCAATAGGACCTCTGGTTGAATTGCTGGGTATTGGAACTCCAAGGGGAAAGAAGGATGCAGCTACAGCTTTGTTTAACTTATCAATATTCCATGAAAACAAGGCTAGAATTGTTCAAGCTGGAGCCGTGAGGCATCTTGTGGAGTTGATGGACCCAGCAGCTGGAATGGTTGACAAGGCAGTTGCTGTGTTGGCAAATCTCGCCACGATTCCCGAGGGAAGGTCTGCGATTGGTCAGGAAGGTGGAATTCCCGTTCTCGTTGAGGTCGTGGAGTTGGGTTCTGCTCGAGGAAAGGAAAATGCAGCAGCAGCATTGTTGCAGCTTTGCACAACCAGCAGTAGGCATTGCAGTATGGTGCTCCAAGAAGGAGCTGTGCCACCATTAGTGGCATTGTCCCAATCTGGTACTGCTAGAGCCAAAGAAAAGGTACAACAAAAATAAGTTTTTTAAATTACTTATTTCAGTTTTCAAAACTTGGGTTTGATCTTGAAAACATATATAGAACAGTGATCGTATTAAAAGTTGTAGGACGAAACTTATAACGTAATAACTGAACAAGTAATCGGGTAATCGCAGGCTCAAGCGCTTCTAAGCCATTTCAGAAGCCAGAGACATGGAAATTCAGGAAGAGGGTAAATGTTTTCATATTACAATCTTAAAAGGCATCCAAGGATTTTGAGACAGATGTATTGAGATATTGATGTACAAATAATGAACGTGAAGCTGTTCTGGTTGCTTGATTTTTTGCACAGTACGTTCCCCAAAAGTTGGAAGGAAAAGAAACAAATTATTACTTAAGATTGGATTAGATTCTGTAAAATATTCTGTTCTACTTCCTAACTTGTTATTATTTGTAACTCTGATCTTGAACTTCTTTTTCTGGGGAAAAAAAAGGTTAATATGATGTATATACACATGCATTTTGTCCAATCTCGTGCGGTTTTCGTTCTTTTTCGCTCTTTTCCAAATGGTTATATTTCACGTCAATCGATCCTCACGTGATAGTTGGATGCATTTCTAACATCAGTTCACAATTTTTTGGTGGTGAGCTTTATGTAGTGTGTATTGTGTGATATGTTTTTAGATTGGGACAATTAGACTTTTGACATCTCGAGGACTTCATATTGGAGTTGCTTATGACAAATGTTTTATCGAATACAAATTCCAATGAGAACTATAATATGGGTAAGAGAATACATTTGGTCTTAGCGTGAAAATAAGAACATGATCTACACTTACACACCATGCTTACTACACTGACTTCATTGAGTTTTTCGGGAACGTGTGGTTTCGTAACTTTCTTGAAACAAATTTCAAGATCTAAGATGATTCTTGAATTATCTCTATGATTTTCGTCTAATCACATAAGAATGATTTCGGTCTTTTTGATAGGTAAAATTCTCTCTTCTGGATTTGTGATCCGTGTCACTTTCCTGAAAAAAATATTATAATTCCAAAGTGGTTATTAGATTATTCTTAAAATTGCTATCAAACTCATTATTGACAATTCTAGTCTTCAAAATAGGAGTTTATTTTACCAACGAGGGTATCTTGAGTCACGGACATGCAAGACACGTTCTTCCTGGTATGAAGTGATGGCCTCGGCCTCGATCTCCTACCAAGGTTGAACCCAGAGTTGGTTTTTTTTTTTTTTTTTTTTTTTTTTTTTTTTTTT